TGTATTTAGTGGATTGCAAACAAAAACTCACCAGTCACACAATAAAGAATAATGATTCACCAATGAGCTGAGTAAACAATTTGTGATGACTTTTTAGAGAATGTATACCATTATCATATGGGATATTTTAAATTGTTCCCAATTAGTCTTTTAATTTATAGTCTTTTCCTGGATTATTGTTTGTTTTCAACTTTAATTATACTCATTAAGCAATCTTAATTTAAAAGAATATTTTTAGCCAATTGAAAGGAGATTCACAAGGAATCATGCTGGATTAGTACATGTGGTAGATCCATGAATTTTGGTGTTAAGGTCATCAACTCGCTCTAAAGAATATGAATCCATGATGCTGTATAGCCAAAGATTTTATTGACAGACTGTTGAAATTATCCTTTGAGCAGCTGCAAAACTGCCAAAGCAATAAGGAAAGAGAAAGACCCACCCTCCCTTGTCATTTCATTAAATAGTGATTCACGAGGCTTCCAGACACTTTATAGCACACATAAAACAGTGGCAGTTGGCAGGAAAGGATCTTTACCATAGTCTAAGAATTAAACTTTGAACCTGATATTTCCATTGAAGGATTAGACTTTGGTCTTTCCAAACAGGAGAGATTTCTTCTTAAGATATGGTAAAGATAGAAGCTCTTTAAACACAACCTTTGGCTAAGGGAAAGATAGGTAACTGTGCAAAACTCTTTCAGTCTCTTTAGACATCATCACATGGAGCTTCTTCCCCATCATAAGACACTTCATCTCCATTTCAAGGACGAAAAGGCACGGAGCCCATCACATGAAGTTTGCCTACTTCCGGCCATCATCTGTTGCTCTTCGTCCTTGAAATGGAGGTGAAGCGTGCTGAAAGGAGGAAGCTCAGAACAGCGTCGAGAAATATGTTCTGAGCTCCTGGCATGCACCAGAACCATCACTAATACCAAAGCCCATGTTGAATTTTTCTGTTACGTGGAGGAATGGTTGTTCCTCAACACTTTGTTTTCATTGCATTTTCTCCTTAATAGTAATCTGGGCTCTAAATTGTGCTCTTGCTAGCTTTTTAACATAACAATGTTTTAATGGAGGGAAGGAAAGCCTAGCAGGAGGGGATCATGGCAAAGGGGTTTAAAATCACACTGGTCTAATGAAGGGAAGCAATACCTTGCAAGAGGGGATCATTACAAAGGGCTTTATAATTACACTGGAGGGAAGGAAGGCATGAGAAAGACTTACCATGGCAAAGCGGTTTAAAATTTCCCCGCTTCCCTCCCAAATGGGATGAGGTCCATAGTAATCTTGGCTTTCAATATTGTAGTTTTCCCTGATTTTTAAAATAATAATAATAATATGGAGATGGTGGAGAAAAGGATTCTCTGTGGATGGTTTGAATGTGGGCAACAATGGGGAAAAACTGAAGGTGGAAACATGTATAATGGGAAGATAGAACTTGAAATGGGATGATTGGGGATTGAAAGGTATGATTCCATTCCCTAGGCCAGGAGCCCCCAGTGGCGCAGTGGGTTAAACTCCTGTGCCGGCAGGACTGAAGACTGACAGGTCGCAGATTCAAATCCGGTGAGAGAACGGATGAGCTCCCTCTATCAGCCCCAGCTCTTCATGCAGGGACACAAGAGAAGCCTCCCTCAAGGATAATAAAACATCAAAAACATCTGGGCGCCCCCTGGGCAACGTCCTTGCAGATGGCCAATTCTCTCACACCAGAAGCAATTTGCAGTTTCTCAAGTTACTCCTGACATGACAAAACAAAAACAAAACAAAACAAAACAAAACAAAAACAAAACAAAACAAAAAAACAGGGATGGGCAATTTTTTTTGCCCTGAGGCCACATTGCATGTCTGGCCAGGAGGGCCAGGTCAGGAGGAAGGGCCGGGCCAGGAGGGCGAATGGAGCAGGCTCAGGAGAAGGCAGAGCTGGAGGCAGACTGGACCTGAAAGGAATGAGACCTGGAGAGGGAGGGAAAGGGTGGTGGTGGGTCATCCTCAAGTTATCCTCCCAGCATAAGGATGGGGCTGCTTTATAATTTATAATTTGGTGAGGTACACTGAATTGCCTACTATAGAGCATAAATGGTGTAGTTCTGCAGAGTCCAAAGTTGCCCACCAAACCAAAAATCCCAGGTTTTCATAGGATGGAGCCATAGCAATTAAGGTAGAAATTAATGTTATAGTTATGTACTGGCAACACACAGGTATTTCTTTAGTTTTAAACTGATGTTAAACATGCACAAACATCGTAAACTGACCTTGGTAACATTTTGAGGTTAGTCTTCAGTCTTCATTTTGTACTTCCTTTGAGGTTCACCTTGCATCCTCATTTTGTAGAACTTAGCCTTTATTGCTATACAGTTTACATGCAGGAAGTTCTTTAGCTTTACACTGACCTTGACCACAAAACACGAAATCCAGTGTAGTTTTTTATACAGTAGCATACATAGAAGAACTTAAACTGACCTTAAGAACTTTTTGAGGTTAGTCTTATATCTTAATTTTGTTCTTTCTTTTTAAACAATTCTTTAACAGTTCTTTAGTCGTGTGCTGTCTTTGTCTGATTCAATGCTCTAGACACAGACTCAAACTACTTACAAATTTTGTTTAATAATGTATCAGATGTATTGTCGAAGGCTTTCATGGCTGGAATCACTAGGTTCTTGTGGGTTTTTTTCGGGCTATAGGGTCATGTTCTAGAGGCATTTCTCCTGGAGAAATGACTCTAGAACATGGCCTTATAGCCTGAAAAAAAAACCCACAAGAACCTAATGTATCAGATGTCTTCTTCTATTTTGCAATGTTTAATCATTATACTCTGTCATTGATTCCTAGACAATTCCTTCCTCCATCCACACAGTTTGTCAAATAATAGAAAAGGGGTTTCTGAACATTTTAGTAGCTTAGCATGTTTGTGTGTTTTGTTAAGTTTTGTTTATTTGTATGTATGTTTCATACATAACTGAAATGTATAACAGGATTGTTTGTGTGTGTGTTCAATAATTTGTTTAAAAAGTGTTATTTACATGGTACAGGTGGTACAGGTGGAGACAGGATTACTTCTTATTTCTGTTTAAAATTTTACAAGTTTGAATATGTTATTCTTTTATGTTGTGTTCCCTTTGCAAAAATTGGTGAAATTTGCCAAAGTACTGGGAAAATTGCAAAATAGTTTATATTTTTTGTTATTTATTTATTACTGGCTTGGGGACCCCACAGTGCCCAGGTTATTTGAAAAAGGCATGGTTTGTTTTAAGGTGTTAGGTAATATCAATTTGGTAACTTTTAGCTCTATTTCTTAAGGGAAAAAAGCCAGTCTTTCCTTTTTTTTATGATTGCTCCGATTAGAAAATGCATAGGCTTGGCACAGGAAATAACACTATCTGTGACTCGTATCACTAGGTCTTAAAAGTCATCTTCTTTGTGGTTTTCTGTCAGCAGGGCAGTAGAGCACATGCATTCTTTTTTAAAGCTTCTCTTTACAATTTCTCTTATCACTAAGGGAGCGGTTATAGCATACTAAGTGAGGAATCAACCTTTGAACAGTATAGGAAAGCACTGCATTTTCATGAACTTGAGTCAGCCACCCATAAAAGATGTCATTGGGAAGATGTATTGTAGCGATACCATAAGGCATTACTGCCATACCATTGTACAGTCATCCTTCCACATTTGCAGTTTTGACGTTTGTGGATTTAATTATGCACATATTTGATTGTAAAAGTTTGCTCTGGGTGAGACTCAATGAGTATCTTCCTTCAGTCATGATGGAGGACCTAGAGGTTATCACTAAGGGATGTTCTTCTATAGTCAACTTCCAGTACTAGAAGATCTAGACCAGTGGCTCTCAATGCTGCAACCCCTTAATATAGTTCTTCATGCTGTGGTGATCCACAACCATAACATTATTTTTCTTGCTACTTCATAACTGTAATTTTGTTTCTATTATGAATCGCAATGTAAATAGCTGATATGCAGGATGTATTTTCATTCACTGGACCTAATTTGATTCAAATACACAATACGTCCAAATTTGAATACTGGTGGGGTTGGGAGGATTGATTTTGTCATTTGGGAGTTGCAGTTGCTGGGATTTATAGTTCACCTACAATCTGAGCTCCACCAACAATGGAATTGAACCAAACTTGGCACACAGAACTCCCATGACCAAGAGAAAATACTGGTGGGCATTGACCTTGAGTTGTCTACATTCAGAGATAACTGTGGACCAAACTTGGCATGAATACTCAATATGCCCAAATGTGAACACTGGTGGAGTTTGGGGAAAATAGGCCTTGACATTTGGGAGTTGTAGTTGATGGGATTTATAGTTCACCTACAATCAAAGAGCATTAGAACTGAATTGAGCCAAACTTCCCACACAGAACCCCCATAACCAACAGAAAACATTGTGTTTTCTGATGGTCTATGGTGATCCCTCTGCCACCCCCTTGCGACCCCCCATTCCAGGTTGAGAAACGCTGACCTAGAAGTTTTCCCTTTCATGGTATGGGGATCCTGTGCTCCTAATCCCAATGAATGTGATGATCCAATAATCTCAAAAAGATGGGACAAAGAACTATTCCAGTCATCACAATGGTAACCTTTTTAATATATATATATATATATATATATATATATATATATATATACACATACATACATACAACAGCACTTAGAACAATTGACTGTAGAACTGGCCAGAAGAAAGTAGTCCATGGTCTTAATCATGTCATAAACCTACTGCGACATGTGAATGTTGTTGAGCTATCTAGAAACAGTGATTACAGGGGTATCAATTTTACTTTATATGGAAGTGGAAAGTTGCCATGAAAGTTCAACATCAGAGCCAGCCTACGGTGAATGTGATTTTTTTTAATTCAAAAAATTCAAATCCAGAATTGGCATCTCTTGATGGTTTGGTCTTGGCTTGCTTCAAACATAAATATTCACAATCTCTGGTATTAACCATCTCTCTCATTGTTTTTTTCTTTCCTGAAGGGTGATTGCCAAGTACAGATAGATGGACCTCTGGAAAACAAGAATTTTTATGTTAAAGAAGGTTCTCAAGGAGGGATGATGTTATATCGGGTAGGCTGACTTTTCAATTTCAAATGACCCAAAATTGGACATGATGGAAGAAAATACTCCTTGACTTTTTGGCTAAGGTCAAGAGTAGCATAGAAAATGAAAGTTCATATCACAGGTTCTCAAATAAATCATAAACAACTAAGGATGTGGGAGGGATATGTAAGCAAAAATATAAGTTCTGATGTCTTTCTCTCTCTCTCTCCTGCATTAGTTTATATTTCAAGCTCCTGTTGTCAGCTTGAGGCTGACTGGCGACACAGATGGCATAATAGAAATTGTATCAGATGGAGTTCTGTATCTTAACAAAGCTCTAGATTGGGAAACCAAAAAGGTCCACAAGCTGCAGGTAAGAAAAATATATAAGTTTGATAGTCCATGTGGAAAATAATATTTGAGGTTCCTCTAGTTTTATTCATGTGAACAACAAATTTTGTAATGGAGACTCACACCTTTAGCTCTTTGAGTCATGGGATGGGAGTGGTGGTGGGTGGTGGGAGAAAGTTAAGTCAAATCCAAGAGTATCACCTTATGAATGAAGAAACAACAGAGTTGACAAGAAAAAGAAGGCATTTAAGAAGGAACCCTTATTATTTGTCTCTTTGTGCAAAACATGATTGAACATTTCTCCATTCTGGCAATAAGAAAATAATGGAAACCTTGCTAGATCAAGTGCAGGATTCAGCTTTCTTTCCAAAATGGCTAAAGTGTAGCTAATAGAGAATCCAGAAACAGGAAAGAAGACAATTCTCCCTTGCTAAGATAAGTCCAAGAAAGCTTGGAGAAGATAATAATGCTGGGGAAAATGTAAGGAAAAAGGAAGAGGGGCTGACCAAGGGCAAGATGGATGGATGGTATCCTTGAAGTGACTGGCTTGACTTTGAAGGAGTTGGGGGTGGTGATGATTGACAGGGAGCTCTGGCATGGGCTGGTCCATGAGGTCACAAAGAATCAGAAACTACTGAACAAATAAACAACAACAAGACAAGTCCCAGATACTGGTGTTTAGTCAACATTGCTTTTGAACAATAGAAGCTCTATTTAACTGTCACCACTAACACAGATGTTGTTTGAAATGTCAGTTCCCAGAATCCCCACCAGTTAATAGCATTAGCCATGGGTGATATTAATTGCTGTGCTGTTGTGTGTCTTCAAATTTTTTATGACCTATAGTAAGGCTTGTTCAGTGGGAAGTTGCCTTTGTTTTCCTTTGAGTCTGAAAGAATATGACTTCCACAAGGTCATCCGTGAGTTTCAGATCCTGCTTTCCAGAGTTATCCTCCAGGATTCAAACCACTACACCGCACTTACTCTTGGAACTTCAATACCAATTCCAAAAGAAAAAAGAAAAAAAGCTTTGAAGGCATAAATAACAACTTAAAAATAGCCAAGTAGACTTATCATGCTTTCCTATGTCTTCAAGAGATCCATATTCAGCATATTTAAGCCTTTGCAGAATATAATGCCTTATCTCCTCCTCTCCATCCTTGTCACACATTTGCCATGGTCTCTTTTTTTAGGCAATAAGCAAGGTATGTCTTGCTTATTGGTAACTAAAAACCAATAAGCATACAAACTCAAATGTAAATAAGGCAATGACTTTGGGCCGTGTCTTTCTTTTAATATTATTTTTTCTTCCTATCTTCATTAGTTGGAAGGTCTGAATGCAAGTGGGCAGAGAGTGAAGGGTCCATATTCTATCACTATATATGTGGAGGACATCAATGACAATCCACCTGAATTTGAGAAGAGCGAGTATAATGGAACAGTTAGACAAAACTCTCGCGCAGGTATTTATATCCATATCAATCGGCATTGCAGCTTACAAAATTGCTAAATATTTAAGCTTTCTCGAGCAATCTCTCAGTTCTTGTGACTTCCAACCCATCATTCCTAGTTACTGTACACAATTGTTAGGGATAACGAGAGTTTGAAATGGACTACATCCAGAAGACTCTGGACCTATCACTCCCTCCCACCCCCAACCCTAGAGACTTGGGATGATTAACAAACATGCCTTTTAATTAATTTAAAATAGCAGTTGTCATGGAGTTTCCATGTTGCATTTCCAATTGATCTGGCAGCATAAATATCGAAAAGTTGGAAAACTGAATGTTTCAATCATGTTTCTAGTATAGTAAAAAACTTTACTAGCTGGTTGCTTCCATGTTAGTGAGATAAAGTATCCACTCAAGCGTTCATTCTGAGCTTTCAATGTGCTATCCAGGGTGCTGAAACCTATCTGTCAAATAGGTTCAGCAACTTGGAAAGCTCTTTAAAGTTCAGATTAAAGCCTGGAGCAGATTTACAACCCAATTGTCATGGGAATTACTCTTCCACATTGCAACTGAAGAGCAGCATACGTCTTCACCACACCATCAAGGCACCAGACTAGATGTTGAGAAAGTATATCACCATCTGTTCTTCTCTTTTGTTATGACAGTGAGATTTCTTCAAATATGCATTGCAATTGGACATGTAAATTAAAGCAATGTTTAGTTCCTCATGATTAATACACAGAAAAGGACTCTAAATGCAAAAAAAATTCATTTGCTCTGAGGAATGTATCTTTTCAAGCACATATAGAACCTTGTCTTCCAAGATATGACAAGTTTTAACAGACCTCTCAAAGTTGGACATCTCATTGTACTGAAGCAGTAGGTATAGATATTTCAAACAGGAACCTGGATTTTATTGCAGGAGGCAGGCAAACTGGCATTGGTTATGCTCCCTATCACATGACACTGTGCATCCTGCTGCCAGTCTTCCTGACCCCTTGTAAGTCTTCCATCCCTAGCTATTAATGGATAAAACCAATCAATAGCTCCCAATCCTATATCGTTCCCATCATAGAATCATAGAATCATTGAATTGGAAGAGACCTTCTTGGCCATCCAGTCCAACCCCTTGCCAAGAAGTGGGAAAATCACATTCAAAGCACCCCTGACAGATGGCCATCCAGTCTCTGTTTAAAAGCCTCTAAAGAAGAAGCCTCCACCACACTCTAGGACAAAGAGTTCTACTGCTGAACAGCTCTCATAGTTAGGAAGTTCTTCCTAATGTTCAGGTGAAATATCCTTTCCTGCAGTTTGAACGTATTGCTCCACATCCTAGTCTCCAAGGTAGCAGAAAACAAACTTGCTCCCTCCTCCCTATGACTTCCCATCACATATTTATACGTGGCTATCATGTCTCCTCTCAACCTTCTCTACTTCAGGCTAAACATGTCCAGCTCTTTATGCTTCTCCTCATAGGGCTTGTTCTCAAGACCTTTGATCATTTTAGTCGCCCTCCTCTGGACACATTCCAGCATGTCAATATCTCTCTTCAGTTGTGGTGCCCCGAATTGGACACAGTATTCCAGGTGCAGTCTGACCAAGGCAGAACAGAGGGGTGGCCTGACTTCCCTGGACCTAGACACTATACTCCTATTTATGCAGGCCAAAATCCCATGGTTTTTTTTTTGCCCTGTTGGCTCATGTTTAGCATTGTTTAACTTGTTTTCCCGAGGACTCCAAGATCTTGTTCACATGTACTGCTATCGACCCAGGCGTCCCCCATTCTGCATCTTTGCATTTCATTTTTTTCTGCCATCATCTACTTTGATATTATGGGCACCGTCTGCTACTGTACCAGCATTGCCAGCAATAAAGTTACATCAGGAGGTTAGATTCTCCCTCTCTTCCAGAACTATTTCTAAATTCTTGAATCTGGAATTGTACAAAAAAATTGTGCAAAAAAAAAAATTGATAGCTGTAGGGTGGGAAGGTGTGCAGAAGCATAATTGCAGACCACAAATTGACAAATTAGCATAATTGGGTTACTGAAAAGAGGTGTGATAATGAGGTTGTTCAACACTATATCTTCTATGAACAACAATGTGACTGTAGTGGAATAGCAAATTTGTGTGATAAAGTCTCATTACTTGTTCTTAGTCATCTTCCATCAATGGACAACAACTCCTGTTTCTGTTCCTATATTTTAATGTGCTGTTTTGAATCCAAACAGGAAAACCCTTCATGTACATCAAAGCTGTCGACCGTGATGATCCCAATACCCTAAACGGACAACTGAGCTACAGGCTCCGTACTCATTTCCCTAACCCCTTCCAGGTGATGCTTTTTCAGGTTGACAATGTCACAGGAGCAATCTCCATAACCAATGCTGGTAAGTAGATCTACTCTTGATGGTTTTCAAGTTCAAAATAACTAAGCAGCCTGTCTTGAAAGGTTTATGCTAATTTTAATTAATCATTTGAATCTGGGCTTATTCTAGCAACCAAGCTCTCCAGGTTTGCACCATAAACAGTGGCATTGCAAAACATGTCCAAACTTACTTCTCGAACTCTTAGAAAAACCTAAAATAATAGCTCCCTCGTGGGCCGTCTAGTCAAATCCCCTGCCAAGAAGCAGGGAAATTGCATTCAAAGCACCCCTGACAGATGGCCATTCAGCCTCTGCTTAAAAGCCTGCAAAGAAGGAGCCTCCACCACACTCTGGGGGCAGAGAGTTCCACTGCTGAACAGCTCTCACAGTTAGGAAGTCTACTTTTCAGTTTGTCTCAGGGAGCCTAACCTGTTGCTTGCAGGCAACAGTGGACTAATTGCAAACAAGCAAGCTGAGATTTTATTCTGACACATCACAATTGTTCCTGGTTAACTACAATTGTGACTAAGGAATAAGGGAGGAATAACCCCTAGTTGTACCTGGATAGTCTGCCAGAATGTATTAAACATTTTTATATACTGTATATGATTTTAGGATTTCAGGGCAGTGTGTAAGTAAGGCCATAAAAGAACACATCTAGATTAAAACTGGAAATCAGCAGCATCATTGATTTACTTTAAAGTACCATCATTGTAAATGGCACTTTGTAAGTAAAAGATCAGTGAAACCATTTCCTCTCTTCAAGCTTTCAATTGAATTAGGACATGATACAAAAGGAAAGGGGAATAGCAGTGTGGGATGGGTTTAAGTCTAGCAAATACTGCCTTTTCTTTTCTCTTTCCAAAGTTAGGATAGTGGCAGATGGGGCGGAGGGCCTTTTGTCTGCTAATCCTAGACATGGTGGAGCTGCGCCTGCCTCTGCTCTACCTATGAAGTCCAGGCTGTGGTAGTTGGAATGGAGGGGGATGAGATAAAAATAAACAATTAAAAATATCCTTGCTCAATACCTGGAGGAAGTTAAGATGGCCTAGAAGAGGAAACTGAAAATAGTTAGCAATTTCCAGGAGGCAATGAGTGGGGAATGGTTTTTACTTCTCCTCTGTTAGCTAAATTAACAAGGAAGTCAACATTATGTTTATATGGGGAAATTACTTTTTTTGGACTATGGTTGAACTTGGCTTCCTGATTTAGGGTGTTCAGGCTCTGTCGTTGAATATGGCCAAGAGAATGTTACAGCTGTTAACATTTTTGTTGGATATGTTTGATTTCTAGGACACCAATATTTAGATCCGGCACAAGAAAGATCGTATCTCCTTGACGTGGAAGTACATGATATGGCAGGACAGTCCATCAATGCCTACACTGATTCCGCAGTTGTGAATGTCATAGTGCTAGAAAACCTCTGGAAATCTCCAGGACCAGTAAAGATCAAGGAGAACTCTACAGAACCTCATCCCATCAGCATCGCTCAGGTAAGATCTTGAAATGACCAAGAATAAATCAAGAGCCCAATTCTTATTGTCAGTTTTCTCCCCTTTCTGCAAGGTCTGTTTATTGCAGTATCATAATGAGAACTTGAGAAATTTGGCTGGTTTGTTTGAGAAGGACAAAAACCTAAATTGAATGTATGAATCTGGTTGCTGTTGTCATCATGAAATCAGATGTGGTCATGAGGACATCTGGCAGGAGATTCAGGACAGACGAAAGACAGTGACGTTGAGTTTAATTGATTTATGGAGTTCACTTACACACAGTGTGGGGACATTCATTCATTCCCAATCTTTAAAGTCATCCAAATGAATGACTATCACCACAACATTTGTGCTTTTAGATGTTGATGAATGCTTCTCTCAACACATTGCACCATTGGCCAGGCTAGCTAGAGCTGATGAGAGTTAATGTTACTCCTCTTTTCCCCCTCTTCATTTATTGTTTTATATCCTGCTTTCCCCCCAAACCTGGGAATCAAGATGACTTGTAAATGTCTGGAGCAGTGCTAGGAAAATTAGTTCTCAGAAGTAATTATTTACAGTTACATTTTTAATTATTTGAATTTTTTATGATTCAGAAGTAACTACATAGCTACTTTTCAGTTGGGTTATTGTAAGTTTTCTGGGCTGTATTGCCATGTTCCAGAAGCATTCCCTCCTGATGTTTCACCTGCATCTATGGCAGGCATCCTCAGAGGTTGTGAGGTCAGTTGGAAACTAGGAAAATTGGGTTTATATATCTGTGGAATGTCCAGGGTGAGAGAAAGAACTCTTTCAGGTATATGTGAATGTTTCATTTGGCCACCTTGATTAACATTTGATGGCCTAGCAGTTTCAAGTTCTGGCTTCTTACTGCCTGGGGTAATCCTTTGTTGGGAGGTGATTGGCTGGCGTTTGAAGAAATTAGGCACCCAGGCAGCCACTGGAGTGTCTTCCTTTTGTTTATCACCACTCTCAGCTTTACCTCATAGCTTTAAAATTCTCTGTGTAGTCTAACATGGTAGTTGTTAGAGTGGTCCAGCATTTCTGTGTTCTCAAATAATATTCTAACACAGTCATGGCTCTTGTGAGGAACACATCGCGGCGCTCTCTGGCATGTATAATTAGATAGACTAAGAAGTGCCAATGCTTTGACTGGGGTTGCATCCATAATGTCTTAAGCTTGTTTTTTCTGGTGAAAGAGTGTGTTTGTGATGGCAAGGTTGTGTTCTGTACATTTGGTGGGAATCAGGATGCCATTTGGGTTGCCGTTTCCAATCCCATCTTTTCCTATGGTCCCTGGCAACAGATCGAAGTCTCATTCAACTCTCGCATTATACTCACACAGGAGGATAATTATCTCCAAAAGGGTGATATCCAACTGACAATAACAATTTTCCTTGATGTCTTCATCAGAATTAGTGTTGGTGCACAGGAACTAATAATGGTTGCCTGTTGGTTTTTGGCAAGGTTAATTTGGAGGGTTAAGAATTGTTCATTAATGCCGATGGGTGCTTCAGACAGATGCTTCACCAGGTAGTTTCTGATAGCAAATCCAACTCCGTGTATTCTTCATTCTTCTTCAGGCAGTCCCTCCCAGAAGAAGGTGTAGTCTCCCTTTTCTTCCTTCAGCTGTCCCTCTCCTGCTGTCTCCTGAAGTGCTACTATGTTGATGTTAAGGCATCCCAGCTCAATTGCAATAATAGTAAACTTGCGTTCAGGGCGTTCACTGTCTGTGTTGTCCAACAGTGTCAGTACGTTCCATGTTCCAAAGTTTTTGGGGTTTTTTTGGCTGCAAGATGGTGATGCCTCTGGACACAGCAGTCCAGTCAGGGATAAGAGAGGCAAATTGTTCTTGGTCTGGATCCTCCCCCATGGCCCTTCCTGGGAGTTACATTGGAACACGCAAGCCCCTCACCACAACAAGGTGACAGTCCATAGAGGGGGCTATGAAGGAATAGAGAAATACTTGGATACTTATAGCAGTGCATCTGTGTTCATCTGGCATTGAAAACTAGTTTTAGGAGAATAACATTTATCCCTCTTCTACTTGCAATAGAGACTTAGATGTCAATGGAGTGGTAACTCTGCTGAATTTTACAAGGTGCTGAAACTATTGGGTGTGTGTGTAGGGGGGGGGGGAGATACAATTCAGTACCTTTAAAGCTCAGCCTAAAACCCAGAGTGAATTCATTTATTGGCCACATTATCCTCCACCGCCTCTCCAGAGGCATCTGGTTGATCACTGTGGCCAACAGGCTGATCAATTAGATGGATCTTTGGCCTAATCCAGCAAGGCTCTTTTGGTCTTTCTCCAGAATACATTTTGGAAACATGCTAAATCCTGTGCATGGGTTTTGCTTTACAAGTCCTGGAAAACTTACTTTTTTAAGGACAGATTGTTCCAGTATTGCCACGGTCAAATTTCTCCAAGGCTGTGTCTATACATTACAAATCTTGTCTTCTTGATTTATTTTGTTCCCAAGCCAAACGCCCAACACCAAGAAAGAGATACCATGAAGGCAGAGCTTTCCATTAATAAATTTGTTGACTTACTCTTCTTTAAAATGTCAGGTGCAATGGAATTATCCAGGTGCATACTATGAAATCTCATCCAAGGAGAAGCCTCCTATTAAATTGCCATTTATGGTTGACAGCAATGGAACTATCTATGTAACTCAACCTTTGGACAGAGAAAAAAAAGAAAGTGTAAGTATGTAGAATGAGAAAATGTTATAAAAACCGAGGAAACAAAACATTTATAACAAACTATCGGTAGTGTCACTCTACACTATACAGAATATACATTGGCTATTAATGTTGCGTTGATGTTGTTGTCATGTGCCTTCCGATTGTTTCTGACTATGACAACCTTGAAGTGGTTTTCTTTTCTTTTCTTTTGAAGTGGTTTTCTTGATCAATTTTGTTCAGAGGAAGTTTGCCATTGCCTTCCTAGGAGGCTGAGGGAATGTGAGCTGGGAACTTTTCATAATTTGTGTCATTTTACATTTACATAATTTTGGGGGATTGAGTCATGGCTGGACATGTAGATGATTCCTGATCGAAATGTTAGTGTGCATAAGCTTTCCAGAGGCGAAATCACTTAGCAGGTACTTAGTACTACCAGCATAGTATAGTGGTTTGAGCAATGAACTATGATTCTGGAGACCATGGATCTCATCCCAAGATGGGGTGGGAGGGAGTGGGGGGAATTGTCTCCTTACCACAGCGTTTTGTTCCATTCCATTTATAAGGGAAATTGATAATGTATTCACTTCCATCACACATGATGTACTTTTGTCCATTTCTACTGTAATCCTCCGCATTCAGAGCCATCACACAGATGAGAGTAGTCCCTGCCCATACTGCATTCTTTTTATAACCCACCCCCCCAAGCTTGGAAAAGTCACACCTGCTGAAGACCAAAAACTAGGCCTAAAAAAAGGGGGGGGGATTTATTTATTTATTTTATTTACTATATTTGTATACCGTCCTTCTCAGCCTGCAGGCGACTCAGGACGGTTTACAGAGGCAGCAATTCAATGCCCACAACACCATAGAAACATTTAAAACATAGACATATAATATAAACACATAACATAGAACATTTACATCTCCTAGTTAAAAACTTTGTCCAGTCTCATCATCCAGTAGTTCCAATTTCCTATGTCTGTTACACTGCATTTTCAAAAGCTTGCTCAAACAACCAAGTCTTAACCTTTTTCCGGAATGTTAAAAGGGAGGGGGGCGATCTAAAGTCCCGAGGAAGGGCATTCCATAGCCAAGGGGCCACCACTGAGAAGGCCCTGTGTCTCATCCCCGCCAAACGTAATTGCAAAGCAGGCTGGATCAAGAGCAGGGCCACCCCAGATAAAGTCCTAGATGGTTCATAAGGGGAGATGCGTTTGAACAGGTAGGTTGGGGCAGAACCATTTAGGGCTAAAGCCAGCACTTTGAATTGTGCTCAGTAACAAACTGGCAGCCAGTGGAGCTGGCGCAACAGAGGAGTTGTATGCTCCCTGAGCACTGCTCCTGTTAGTAATCTGGCTGCCGTCCATTTTAAGCTTCCGGGCAGTCTTCAAAGGCAACCACACATAGAGCACATTGCAGTAGTCTATATGGGATGTAACCAGAGCATGGACTATCATGGCCAAGTCAGACTTCCCAAGGTACGGGCACAGCTGGCACACAAGTTTTAACTGTGCAAATGCTCCCCTGGTCACCGCCGAAACCTGGGGTTCCAGGCTAAGCTATGAATCCAGTATGACACCCAAGCTGCAAACCTGCGTCTTCAGGGGGAGTGGTGATATATCAAATTTCACAATTCCTGAAAAATACATTATTTTTTAAACTTTAATGTAAACATCTCATGCAAGAGGATTACTGGTGAGAAAAGGTGTGTCGAGGCTCATTTCGAGATTGCCTACATGAACACTGACTCTTTAACATCACTACAACGATCTAACATGGCAGAATCTGACTTTTAGCTTTAGCCATTTTAGTTTTTGTTTGATTCTTGTTATTGCTGGATTGTTAGCCAAGATGCAGCTTTAAGTTTTTAGAAGTCCATCTGTCATTTTTGGAAGACACAGTTTTGGCAATTTTTCCAGTGTCATTTCACCAAGCTATTCTCCAGTGTCTTAAGTATGAGTAAACATCTTTCTTGTGAAGAGATTGGCTTCTGAGTGGGCATTATAAGATTGCCCAGTCCATTAATTTTCACAACCACTACAATATCTAATTACAACATTTCCTTTACAGTATTCATTTTATGTATATGCAAAAGAGGAAGACGTCACATTGTCATATCCATTGACTGTTAATGTCACTGTGGAAGACATAAATGACAATCCACCTGTGTGTAAAGCTTTAACTAAATTTGAAGTTCAAGAGAATGAAGTTGCAGGTAAGAAAACATGATATCAGATTAGTTAATACATATCTTCCTTGGAAATGCTTTGGATCTGGAGATTTGTACCTCAAATGCATGCTGAACTCAAGATTTCACATGATACATGTGTGCTTTGTTTGTGTCAGTCCAGAGCCTCTGAAAGTTACTTTAATTTTTTTGGACTACAACTTTAAAAATCTCAGTAGTCAATACTAGCTGTTGAGTTTTAAGAGTTGGAACCCTTCACAAAAATTGTATCCATCTTTGCATATATATATATGAGTAATGTTGCTTAGCAATATTTTAAATATTGTTTTTGTATACTTTGTTTAATATGCATGTTTTTGTACAGCTTTTAAAATTGGGAACTACTCCGCAGAATTCAGGAAACTGCAATTATCAAAGTCTAATGGCACTTGGTTAGTGCATTGCTTCATTACTTGCAAATTAGATTAGTTCCCATTAGGTGAGAAGAAAATCTTCCTCATCCTTTCAGGCATGCTTGTTCTGGTACATTGATTGTTGTTGCTATTTGAGAACAAGTAGACATCAACTCAGACCATGAACTTGGACAGTGTGCTTTTCCTAAGTTTTAAACTTTTCAAATCTGTTTTAACTCTGTTTAATATGTTGCAATTTTTGAAATATTTAGGTGATTGTGTTGAGACATGTGTTGTGCCATTGTAAGCCACCTTGAGTCCCCCTGTCAGGGTGGAGAAGGGTGGGGTGCAAGTATGGCAAATAAATAATAAATAAATAAAGTTGTGGCAACATTATGAATGAATAACATCCAAGATTCCAGATCATCAACTGTCCTGGTCAGATCTTGGAAACTTGGGACCATGACTTCCTTGCTTGAATCCATCCTTTTGTGATGCAATCTCTCTCTTTTCCCAACACCTTTATTCAATGAGTCGCATCATTTTATGATATGTCATAATTACAACAACTTCATTTTAGTCATCTTTACTTGTAGATATTTCAAGCTTGAATTTGTCTAAGAACCATTCATTTTCACATTCTATTGTATCTCTAGAGCTTTTCTTTCAGCACCACATTTCAATTCTGTTGATTTTCTTACAGTCAGATTTCTTCGTTGTCCAAGTTTTACAACCACACAAAGAAATCCGAAATATGACATCCTTGTCTGCTATTTCCAGTTTTTTTAAAGCCTTAAAACCCTAAACTGCTTAGGCTCTGTCTAAGGGACAGTCTATTTTAGGAGTCTATCTAGATGTTGAAATATTCAAGAGATGCCCTTTAGACAGTACCTGGAATAGCTTGCCATTGTTTAAATTGTGTTCTGCCCAATGTCTTCAATGTTGTACCCAGACTATGAAATGTGGAATTCCACATGGTTGCTGTGAACTATTTGTATTCTTGCACTATTAGGAACAGCATGAAGATTCATCCCCTCTAATTGGCCAGTGTTATTGAGTTCATTATTTCAATGATTTTGCAATGATAATTTGAATGGTTGTATTATTTAGTATGTTTTAAACTATATTAGATCCCTTAAAATGTAATTTTATTAGTTATCATCTTTAAAGCACCCTATAAAGCTCAGGTCCATGTTACCTTAAAGGATCCATAAAAGACTGCCCATATTTTGAGATAATATATGGAAAGCATCCCTCATACACACACGTGGCAGGAACATGGGAGAGGTTTTCTTGGTGGCTGTTCCCCAGGCATTGGATCTCCCTTCCAAGAGAGTTAGATTGGTACTTTTCCCAACAATAATTTCCACAGGCAGGTTTTTCATTTTGGCAGGACTTTGCAGAATTGTGCTGTACTGCCTATCTGTGTTTTGTTTATTTGTTGTATTTAATGGTTTTAGCTTTAATTCATGGCTAGTTTATGACATTTTTAACTTTTGTGCTTGCTAGAGTTTTTGGTTTTAGCTTTATTGAGTCTCAGACTGGGAAATAAAGCATAGTATTGTTCTTGTTATTTCATCATTGCTATCAGACTCTCCTTTAGCTATCTTGTCTCCCCTATTAGTTGCCTAAGATTATTCACTGGAATAGTTTTGCTTGTTTGATTTCCTATTATCTCACATTTATGTACTGGTTGACTAATTTCAACTTCCTTTGTTGCCACCAGGGAATTACATCGGAACATTTCAGGCTTCAGATGCAGACAAGGAAGACACAGTTAACTCCTGGCTGCAATACAGCCTTTTGGATCAGAACCCCAAAATCCCTGTGGATAATCTGTTCCGCATTGATTCAGGAACTGGAATTATCAACTTAATCCATAGTGCATTAAACAGGCAGGAGGCCTCTAACTACACTTTGAAGGTGGAAGTGAAAGATCCAGGTCAGCATCTACTTATCAAATTATTATTCCATTTCCCCAGTATTTTTAAGGATTGAGAATTGCAAGGGGGTTGCAAGGGGATGTATCTACTCCTGGTTTTGAAAAGAAGACTGTCTATTAGTCTTGGGCCCGAAATTTGTCCCATTCATTTGATTTGTGTTTCCGTTTTGTTCCGTCCATTCAGATGGCACGAAATGGAAAGACCCCTCCTGGAATGAAAATGCAATTGATATGAAAGGCAGGTGGGAGCGGGTACCAGCTCCATGCCTACTTTTTGGATTGATTGCCTGGAGCCTGGCAGGGCCTGCAGCCAAGTGCCGAGTAAGAAGCGCTCCTTATTCGGTGCTTGGCTGCAGGCCCTGCCCAGCTCAGGCGCATAGTCCCAAAACCTGTACCCATAGGCCCAAAGCACTCGGGACTATTAGTGCAGGCTTTGGGCATATGCACCTGAGCTTTGCAGGGCCTAGAGTCAAGCACCGAATAAGGAGTGCTCTGAGTAAGGAGCCTGCACCCATAGACTATGGCTGAAGCCCCCCACCCAATATTGGGCCAAAAGATAACCAATCTTTCAGCCCCAAAAACAAAACACAGCAACAAATATCTGACTTCCCGATTTCGGGAGACTCAGACGAAAATGGATCAGGGCTCCCACGAAAGCCGGGACACGAAACGAATCAAAGTAAGTCCCAAATGCACATAACTACTGTCTACGGGATGATGTAAAGATGACCTGTATATGTAGAAAGGAAAGGTTGTTAGTGTCCTGGTTGCAGGAACATTTCAAAACCCATAGAGGAGCAATAGGTCAGCTCAAAGCTCACAATAAAATGTACTGGACTATACATTTTTTAAAATGGGGTTTATTTTTTTCAAAAAATACACATTTTTTGTGCCTTTATGCTACCAGTCTTAGAGACAGGGCAATCGCAAATTATCATAGGATCTACCAGAGCCTAAGTTCAATGTTTATAAACATTCACATTACATCTTAAAACTGAGGAGGTTGCATCCATCTATACCAGGTATGGGCAAACTTGGGCCCTCCAGGTATTTTGGACTTCAACTCCCACCATTCCTAACAGCCTCAGGCCCCTTTCTTTTCCCCCTCAGCCGCTTAAGCGGCTGAGGGGGAAAAGGAAAGGGACTGAGGCTGTTAGGAATGGTGAGAGCTGAAACACCCATGCCTGATCTATACTATAGTAACAGTCTTCAAAGATGCTGAAAGTTGCATGGGATACATATCATAGCAATGTGTCCCAATCCAGGAGCTCTACACAATATATATGGAGATGTTGAATGCTGTAAAGCATTCTATCAATACTAATTATTACGACATCAGTACAACTGTCGTATCCATAACGGATACATTTCTACTTTATGTGACTATATAAAGCTGTATATAAAAGCAAACATTTTTATGTGATGCACATTGGTGGCACCGAGAAGAGGGTGTAGCTTGAATAGGATACCGTAAATAAATAAGTGAAACTGGATAAATGCAACTCTATATATTGGTTTCATGGATACAAAGGTCATATTGTGTTTATATTCATAATAGTTGATTTATGATTAGGTGTGTGGGCCTATGTCAGTCCTGATTGCATTTCTCATAAGCCTATCTATATTCTTTGCCTATTATCTCAGGCTTCTGAAACTGATTTTTCCCCTTTTGCCAAAGAAATGTATGTCATTTAGTGCATGTTTTCCTGAAGGTGTGGATTGTTGTGTATTTCCCCTATTCACTCATATGTGTTTGTACACATTTTAAAAATTTATACATGTTTAGCCACGCACATATTTCAAAGATAGACATGATTTGGGCACTCTTTTCTTTGCTGAAATGCACTACAAGTGTTGACATGTGCGGATTTCAGAGGCGTGAGGAACTTTGCCTCGTTGCTAGTCTCAGGATGTATGAGGTGGATATTTTCATGGGGACATGTGGACCTAATGCATGTCTGTCTTTGCCCCCATTTGCCAGTATGTCATTTAAAGCCTGTTTGATTGAAGTGTTTGAGAACCATTATTTTGCAGAGAATGACTCACAATTGTCACCATTTTATTATTTTCTCTGTAGTGTTCAAAACAGTTTGTGATGTGCAAATAAATGTCATTGATATCAATGATCAGATCCCAATCTTTGAGAAAACGGATGTGAGTAACCTTTTACTATGTATACATATATGTATCTTTCCTTTTATGGGGAATAGGGGTGGGAAAAGGAATGTCCCAGCACTGGCTGGAGCATTCTGGAAGCTGTACTGCAAAAATCAAGCGCTATCATGACTCATATGACTAATATATTCTTAAACGTAGAGTTTGAAAAAGTTATGGTTCTTCTCTGTGCTTTGTTGTTAACTGCCATCAAGGTAAATTCAGCTTAGAGTGACCCTTTGATATCACCCTGCTTGGGCCTTGCTGATTCAGTGTGCAATTTGTCTGAAAAATGTATGGAAAAATCCTCCAAATAGATGAAAACAAATGAACATATTCCGTTTCTACCCATACAGTCCCAATCCTCCATTTTCTTCCTAGTCCTTCAAAAAATCGAGTTAGGAAGTAACACATAGTTTCCATTTGCCATCTGCAAAGGAAAATGGAATAATCTCAATTTATGAGGTGGGAGGGATCTGCAGCCCATGAAAGGTGAGGGGATTGCCCCTGCCTCTCAAGCAGTTGTCTGCCCCTATCCTATTATTTATTATTTATTTATTTCCAACATTTCTACCCCGCCCTTCTCAACCCCTAAGCGGGGACCCAGAGCGGCTTACACTGGCAACAATTCGATGCCACGATGTACAAAACAATTATAACAGATATAACAACAATTTAAAGCAGTAAAAAAACAATAAGGTAAAAACAATTTAAAACATTATTATCAGCCATATAACCATTTCCAATCCAGTTCAACCTCCAAAGTGCTGTCATGCCTGCTGTCCAAAGGCCTGGTCCCAGAACCATGATTTCAGGGTTTTTTCCTAAAAGAAAGGAGGGACCAAGCTGATCTAATCTCGCTGGGGAGCGAGTTCCACAGATGGGGGGGGGGGGGTCACGACCGAGAAGGCCCTGTCTCTCATCCCTGCCAAATGCATTTGTGAAGCTGGTGGGACTGAGAGCAGGGCCACCCCGGACGATCTTAGCCTGCAAGGTGGAATGTAGAGATACGTTCGGACAAGTAAGCTGGGCCAGAACCGTATAGATACATAAAGGGGGGAGTACATTTTTGTAGTCTCTTTTATTCCTCTTGCAACAATTGACACCAAGTCTCTGGCAGTGGTTCCCAACCTTTGGTCCTACAGGTGTTTTGGACTTCAATTCCCAGAAATCCCAGCCAGCTTAACAGCTGTTAGGAATTGTGGAAGCTGAAGTTCAAAACACCTGGAGGCCCAAAGGTTGGGAATCTCTGTTCTATGTACAATATCCATGTCATTATACCAGTGGTTCTTAAACCGTTTATACTTAAGGACTTCAAATTCCCAGACTTCTGACCACTGATGCTTCTGTGAGTTGAAATCCAAAAAATGCAGACAATTGAAGTTTGAGAACAACAGCATAAAGTGCAGCGAAATAAATCCATCGTCATATACATGGCCATTCCTTCATTTCTTTTGTTTTTAATAAAAAAATAATTTCTTCTTTCTCTTGACAGTATGGAGCTTTAACCCTTCCTGAAAACAAACAAGTTGGCACTGTAATAGTGGAAATTCAAGCCACCGACGGAGATGAACCATTTACTGGAAGCTCTCAAATTATTTATACAGTCACGAATGGAGACCCAAATAACACTTTTTCTATACGGACAGATCCAAAAACAAACAGAGGATATGTGACAATTAATAAGGTAAATAAATTTTGTTTATCTCCCCACCCTGTTTCTTAATGAGCAAAAAGTCTCAATTACCATTTGAGGCCCCCATGGTAAGTATGGATTATGAAGCTGGGTACAACTTTTAGGAATCATCTCCATACTTGCTTCTTGAAAAGATAAGCAGATAATTGAATATGCCTGGAGCGAGAAGAGACTGAATTGCACTCTAGACCAGTGTTTCTCGATCTGTTTTCCACCACAGACCACCTTTAAATACCTCTTGTGGCCTTGGACCTCCAAAACTTAACTCAAGATTTAAGGCACTAGTCTGCATCAAATTATGATTTCAATTTTTTCATGAAATTCCTTCAAATTTAGAGAGACTGAGATATAAGGTGATCTGTTAATACACATACCCCTATTATAATATAATTTTTTGATTATAATGATTTCATATGGTTTTAAAATAATAGTATCAATACTAATAATAGTTAGTAATGCAATAATAATTGTAGTGATAGTAGAATAATGGCAACAGTAAGAGCAATAACTATAGCAATAATAATTACACTACTACACACTCCACATTCACACAAGGTGGAGGATTCTTCTAGGTAGTGCCATTTAGCCAGGTTGTTTTTTGATTTCCCAACACTACTGCTGAGTCTGTTTCGGGACTTCCAAGTTGCTCATTCTTGGTTTGCCTCTGGAGGCAGACCCTCGTGGGGGGCCATCCAGTTGGGATTTCCTGGTTTAGCTGCCCAGAGGGATATTCTTGCTATTGTGGGGGAACATTAAGAGGAATGGTGGTTCTCATGAAACTTTCCCTTGATTTGAGTCAACTGGGAGTCTCTGAACCCCAGGTTGAGAACCACTGCTCTAGACTAAATCTGAATGTCTGTTACTATACATTCCCATGTGATCAGAGCTATATGCATTTATCAAATAAATTTGTGATTTGCTTAAGAAAGTTTTTAAAAATGCAGCTGGAGATTCATGACACAGTTTCTTCTTTTCCTTCTTTCTTAGCTTCTTGATTTTGAAACAACTCCCGTGTATTCCCTGGACATCAGTGCCACAAATCCTGAACCGCTTGTCCCTGGGACGAAATATAACTCAAGTTCTTTTGCTAAGTTGAAAGTGTATGTTACAGATGTGGATGAAGCACCTGTTTTCCTCCAAAAAACATACACAGCTGATATGCTTGAAAATGTTACTGTTGGTACCTTTGTGACGACAGCAATAGCCTACGATCCTGAGGGAGTCGAGACAAGGTAAGTACACCGTCCCCCTTCTGTTTTCAGATTAATCAAGATTAAATAAGACTTGACATTAACCTCATTGATGAGATGCTGTAAGGTTTGATGATTGTTTTAATTACAAATACAGGCAGTCCTTGAGTTACAGATATCTGACTTATATCTGACTCATAGTTAAGAACAGGGTGAGACAGCAGGAAGTGAGAGGAAATCTATCCATAGAAAGGGAAATTCACTCATGGAAGAGTTTTCATGGGAAAAAGACATTGCGTCTGTTGTCTTTTTTGGATTTTGAATAAAATGTTGTGGAAGCAAGGATTGATGAGAAAGTTTCAGTGGAGACAATCTTTTCACCTTTCAGGAGTTAATTTCCCTTTTGAGGGGTAGATTTCTCTCACTTTGTGTTGTCTCACCTCCATTCTTAACTATGAGTCATTTGTAAGTCAGATGTCTGTAACTTGGGGACTGCCTGTATTTTCTTTTTAAAAATCTTTTTTTAGGTTTTAGAATTCTTTTCAATATGAGAAAGGAAATAAAATGCAGTAAAATAACAAGTACAGCAATGAGCTATGAGTGCATCTATGTAGGCACTGACTGTAACTATTTCCAGCGAGGCTTTCTTGCAAGCTGTACATGTTAAGTACTTTTAAAAGCAATATCCTTCCTCTGTTCTTATATCTTGGTGATCTTTAGGTACACCCTGAAAAACAACAACAGAAACTGGCTACGAATCAATCCTCTCAATGGCTCAATATATACTGCAGCACCATTGGATCGGGAAACTGAAAATCCCTATGTGGTCCAGATTGTGGCGATTGAACAAAGTGAGTGAAGAAAATTCTCTTGTAGTCAATGAGGTTTTCAAGGAGGTCTGTGGCAAAATGTCTTCTGGTGTGTTCCCTATTACAATAGTCCTTCTTGACACTCCTTCTCATGTGTACATGGTAACAGTGGCAGGCAACTGTGGGCTGTCATTTTAAATTTTCTACAATGCACCAGTGTGTTGCTACATTATACATTTGGGAGAAAGAAAGTAAAGCGGAAGCTTTCAAATTATGATGGATATGGTTCAGGGATAATGTTGGTCAGTTGACTACTTAGGTGCCAGGACCTGGGTATGTGATACAAGGCATGGCTTTTCCTGCATCTAGGTGGGCCTCTAACTAGGACTGGACTGTTAGCTGCCCTCATCAAAGGTTGTGTTAGCTAGGACTATTGGAAATTACAGGGGCACAAGTCGCTGAATCCTGACTTTCATAAATAAATAAATAATAATAATAATAATAATAATAATTATTATTATTATTATTATTATTCTGACACAAAACCACAGTATGTCACAGGAAACGAGATCTATATGCTGGATTTCCTATCACAAAATCACAGGTTGAACACTTCCCAAGCATCTAGGACTGTATGATTTATTTTCGAATGACGTGTGCAAATCCAAGTAAGGTGGCCTTTTGCAGTTGACAGATCATGATTTTGTCAATGTTTATTGTCTCCAAATGCCAGCTGAGATCTTTTGGCGTGGCACCCAGTGTGCCAATGACCACTGGGACCACCTGTGCTGGTTTATGCCAGAGCTTTTGCAGTTCAATTTTGAGGTCCTGATAACGGCTGAGTTTTTTTTTGTTGTTTTTCCTCAATGCGTCTGTCACCCAGTATGGCAACATCAATAATTATAGTTATGCCTCTATTTGTAGTCCGTTTGTGTGATTTTCTTGCAGCAGCTGAGGATATGGTCCATGGTTTCATCAGCTTCCTTGCACAGTCTGCATTTTGGGTCATCAGCTGATTTTTCAATCCTGGCCTTAATGGCCTTTGTTCTGATGGCTTGCTCTTGGGCTGCAAGAATCAGGCCTTCTGCCTCCTTCTTCAGTGTTCCATTCAAGAGCCATAACCAGGTCTTCTCCTTATTAACTTTTCCTTCAATTTTGTCAAGGAACTGCCCATGCAATGCTTTGTTGTGTCAGCTGTCAGCTCTGGTTTGTAGTGCAGTTTTCTTGTACTGATTCTTTCTCTGCTGTGTTTTGAGAAGTTTCCGATTATTGACTTCAATAAAAAAGGGTTTTCCTTGACATATTCTGCCAGGGCGTGTTTTTCTTCTTTGACTGCTTGTTTTACTTGCAAATGTCCTCTGCCACCAGACTTTCTAGGCAGATAGAGCCGGTCAACATCACTGCGAGGATGTAGTGAATTATGAATGGCCATAAGTTTTCTTGTTTTTCTGTCCAAATTGTCCAGTTCTGCCTGCATCCAGTTTATGATGCCAGGAGTGTATCTTATGATAGGTATCGCCCAGGAGTTTATGGCCATGATGGTATTGCCTCCATTGAGCTTGCTTTTGAGAATTTTTCTGACCCTTTGAATATATTCTTTGCTGACTACAGTTTTCACATTTTCATGTTTGATGTTGTCCAGCTGTAGTATGCCCAGATATTTATAGGCCTCGGGCTGGTGACACTTCATCACTTGACCATTGGGCATATTTATGCCTTCAATTTCAATGATTTTTCCCTTCTTCAGTGCCACTGTCAAACATTTGTCCAAACCAAACTCCATGTTGATTATTATTATTATTATTATTATTATTATTATTATTATTATGGTATTCATAATTCCCAGAGAAGAGAAATCTCATGCTCCGGAGGTGTTTTGTATATAGCGGGAATTATGGATAAGCCCAAATCTCCTTCTCTTTGTCTTTTTTGAATAACAACTAAAAATGGATTAACCATTTATTTCATTGTGGAAAGACCGGCTTATGCTGTGGTATTATATAACTGCTGCTCCTAAATGCAGTGGCAAAAAAGTGGGAGTAAGCAAAGTGGATAGGTTTCACCATCTCTGATTATAAGTCCTGTAATATTGTTTTGACCTCTGTTTCACATCTGCAGCTAGAGCATTTCAGAGCTCCACGGCACAGCTGACACTGAACCTGAAAGATGTGAATGATAACCCTCCACGGCTAGAGAAGGACTCTGTGTTCTTCTGCCATCCTCTCAAAGGAAATGAGAGAGCAAAAATAGATGTTAATGATCCAGATGTGTATACACATATTCCAAAATTTAGTTATGTCCTCATGGGTGACAACACAGTACAGAATACCTGGAATGTCTCAAAAGATGGTAAGGTGCTTTTTTGTTTTTCGTTTTTTCGTTGTTTTTTTGTGTGTGGCCAGAAACACTGGAGAACCAGCATGGTATAGTGGTTTGAATCTTGGACTAAAAATGCATATACAATGTAAAATGAATGTAGTTTGACACCATTTTAACAGCAATGGCTGAATGCTATGGAATTCTGGGGTTTGTAGTTTGATGAGGCACCAGCACTCTTTGGAAGAAAAAGCTAAAGACCTCATAAAACTACAGTTCCTGTGATTCTGTAGCATTGAGCGGTGGTGTCAAACTGCAGTAATTCTACAGTGTAGAGGCACCCTGGAACACTGGGAGACCAAGATTCAAATTCTCACTCAGCCATGGAAGCCTATAAGGTGACAAGTCACACTCTGTAAAACTCAGAGGAAAGAAATAGTAAGTTTTATCTGAACAAACTCTACCAACAAAACCCCATAATAGTTTTGCCTTGGTGTTGTTATCACCAGAAATGACTTGAAAGTACACCAAACAAAGAACAAGCCAATTTTACTCTCCAGACAGTGATTTCTATTACAGAATGCTGCTCCCCATCTTCATTGGGATACTTGTCCTGAATGAATGAATGAATTATTTTTCCTTTGGAACTTTGCCATAGGGCACTGGTTTTCAACCTGTGGGTCCCCAGGTGTTTTGGCCTACAACTCCCAGAAATTCCAGCCAGTTCACCAGCTGTTAGGATTTCTGGGGGTTGAAGGCCAAAACATCTGGGGACCCACAGGTTGAGAACCACTGCCATAGGGTCACATGTAAATCTAGGCACAATATCATGGGACCCTCACTGGAAATGTCAAAAACCCAAGCGATCAGTTCAGACCTTTGGCAAGATGAATCTATCCTTCCCCAAGCACCCTGTTCTACAGCCGCTATACTAAAAAATCTTGGGATTTCAAGCTGTATGCACATAAAAAGTTCTGCTACAGAGCTCCAGTGCTCTAATGTAGAGAAGTGGATGAGAGCTTTCTAGCAGATAATTCCAAGTATTCAAGAAATTACAAATTCCAGGATTATGTACTGTGAAGCCATAGCAATCATGGTGTAATTTTGCAGTGTGGTTAGTTACACCCCCCCCCCCCGCCACACACACACACTAAAATTCAGTCATTTGTTTGAGAATTAAACCTGTTCGATTGAAACCAGGGGTACAATAAAGAACTGCACATTGCATTGTATTGTGCCAAAGGAGTGAAAGCTGTACATCATCATCCCCTCCTCCTCCTCCTCCTCCACTCCTCCTCATTTTTATTATTGTTATCAGCCCTGTTGTCATGTTTCTGTTTGAAATTCTTGCTTAACCATTCCACTGTTTGGACTGACAGGCGTGCATGCTTACATTTCTCCGAAAAACATTAATCTTGAGGAAAAAACCTATGAAGTACCGATAAAAATTAATGACAATGGGCGGCCACCTATGGAAGGAATTGTCTATCTGAAAGGTAGAGTGAAAATCACATTCATGCTTTTTAATATTTTTCTTTTTTTATAGTACATAACTGAGTGGGGTTTTTTTTTGTCTATGACTCCTTCAATTTGTGCTATTTGTCCTACAGTGAGCGTATGCCGGTGCGTAGAAGGAAGATGCTTCATTCCAATTGAACCTGTTTATGAATTTCCAACAGTGGCAACGGCAATTGGGATCCTGGTTGCTGTACTGATAGTTATTGGTGAGTGGCTATTTTCAATCAAATGTTCTAGACCTCTTTCTGATAGCGGAGCCCCATCTACACTTTTATGGTTCCACCATTCCTGCTCCTACAAAAAAACTGCCTTTAAGCAAAAGTTCTAGACCTCTTTCTGATAGCGGAGCCCCATCTACACTGACCATTTAATGCAGAAGGAACTGCATTGTATGGTCAGTGTAAACTCATATCATGCAGTTTAACCACATTGGGCTGCATTATAAGAATCTACACTGACCGTATACTGCAGCTCAATCTGCATATCAGTGTAGATGGGGCCTAGTCCCATAGGAACTTGATTCAGCAGCTCCAGTAAAGAAAAAAACAGATCCATCAGCTTAACTCACCTGAGAAAACAAGAAGAGAAAGCTGGGGTGGCATTTTAAGAATAAACAAAATAGCTGCTAAAGAAGAATGCGGAGGAGAGCAGCAGGTTGTCATATTGTGCGTGTATGCGTGCACTTTTGTCATTTTGAAATATAAATGGCACACAACAGAAACCATAAACAAAAAGTGGGAAAAGAAGGCAAATAATACAAATGTGAGGCCACAGAATTGGACCTAGGACACTTGGATTCAGATCACTGCATAGTCATGAACAACATCTGGTTTCCAGTGAATTAATGAACCTACAATACCTACAAGTTGAGGATTAAATAGTATAGTGTCATCTCAGGTAACCATCTTCAGAGGATGTGTGAGATATAAATTTACCAAGTTGACACAAATTTACCATAGTTCCAGCATTCATCAATGACAGTTTCAGAGGTTTCCAGAAAAGCTTTGAGGAGGAGGCTCAATGATTCTAAGGTTGCTCAAAAATGTGGTGTACAGTATGATCCCTATATCCACAGGGGATATATCTTCAGACTTGGTGTAGGTATGTGGAAACCATGGATGTTAGCAAACTCTTTGGAAATGAAGAACTTCTGACCCAGGAATACTCATAGAAATGTTCTGGAGGACCCAGAAAATGCCTAAAGATGACATATTTTGTCAGATCAATAACATACTAGTCCTACAGATATGGTCATACTAGAGGGAAGGATATTACAGGCAAAGATGAAGTACTTTGTTCACATAATGAGAAGATGGGAAAGCTTGGAGAAGATAGTGATGCTGGGTAAAATGGAAGGAAAAAGGAAGAGGGGCAGATGGATGGATGGTATCCTTGAAGTGACTGGATTGACTTTGAAGGAGCTGGAAGTGGCCACAGCTGATAGGGAGCTCTGGCATGCGCTGGTCCATGAGGTCAGGAAGAATCAGAAGCAACTGAACAAATAAACAACAACAAAAACCTATATTCTATAAACATCACCAATAACAAGTCAAAGCATGACAATTTTTAGTACATACACTGTGTTCAAAACACGTATTATGCTTATATTTGCAAACTTTTAACCAGTTTCATCAAGATTTTATCTATTTTGCTGTCCTTGTGAATTTCATCTTTGTAGAGTCAGAAACATAGGAAGTTGCCTTAAACAAAGCTAGAATAAAGGTTGCTTTTTGGTGACAACTCCCAGAATTCCAGCATTTTCAATTTTTCTAACACTGCTTGGAGTTTCCAGGAATTGGAGCAGGGACCTTCTGCTTGCAAAGCATGTGCTCTGTTCCTGAACTATGGCCCTTTCTCTATAAGCCCAACAATATGATGAGCTCAATAAAAATTTATTATGTTTTTTTCTAAACAAAGCATAACTATAAGACTAGATTTCACTGTGCTGTGTCTGTCAGGAAGACAGGGGGGAACTTAAACAAACTCAGCTGGGTTTTTTTCCAAAACAAGACAGAATCCTTTTCCAAAACAAGATAGAATTTTTGAAAATAAATGTAAACACTGAAGGAGCCAGGATGACTGACCAGCTGAGGAATATGGCTCTCAAATGTGTAAATAAAGATATACAAATATTCAGAGCACTGTTTCTTGAAAAATTGTTGAAAGCAGCCTAAGTTCACCATAATTTGGTTTTGTAGAGGGGTAAAAGCAAGAAATAATGAATTAAATAAAGCAATTCAATTTACAAAGGGAATAAGAAAAGTATGAGAAGAGAGGCGGTGATCAAAAAAAGAAAAGAAAAGAAAATTCATATAATAATTCTACAATGTCAATTCTAGCAAAGGAAGTGGAAAGTAAGAGCTAGTATGAAATAAACTTGGAATTATAGTGTTCTTCATTCGCCAAGAGATGAAGCAATTATGTAGACTGTGGGAAAAGCAGAGAGATTGAGATAGATCAGTGGTTCCCAACCTTTTTTTGACCAGGGACCACTTTGACCAGGGACCACTCCTCAGCATTAGTACCAAAAGGGTTACGAACCAGTTTTTTGTGAATTTCAGATTCAGTTTCATTATTTGGGGTGCTGATTCAGAAAATTACATTGGATAGACCACATCAGCTCTAATTTTGGATACAAAACATATGCCATCCAGTAGTCCTCATCTGCTTGCCCACAGAAAACCATATTTAATAATCTAGTACTAATATGGTCTATCCAAATGCAGTTTTCTGAATCAGCACCCTAAATGACCCCAGAAACAGGCCTAAAAACAAAGACACCAAGGCACCTCTGCTTCCAGGCATCACATGGAATGGCTCCACTTAGGGAGAGGAAGAAGGAGGAGAAACAGTAGTCAGGAGATTTTTTTTTTGCACCTTTTGTGGGTAGTCAGTCTCTCCCCTTATGACAACTTTGTTGCCTCAACACTATAAGAAGGTTTCGCGAGATCAGTTGCTCTTGTTGCAACAGTGTAGTAACGGTGAAGCTACAGAACATATTTTAGTTCTTGGGGAGGAGCCCCCAGTGGCACAGTGGGTTAAACCCCTGTGCCAGCAGGACTGAAGACCGACAGGTCGCAGGTTCAAATCCGGGGAGAGTGCGGATGAGCTCCATCTATCAGCTCCAGCTCCTCATCAGGGGACATGAGAGAAGCCTCCCACAAGGAAGGTAACACATCTGGATTTCCTATGGCAGTGTAGAAAGGGCCTTAATGTCACTAAGCAGTACTAGCTGATTTAACATATTCTGGATATTAACAGTGAAAGAAAGTTCTGAATTTGGGCTTTACAGTTTAGCTTAGACACTACATGTTCCACAATTCATGGAGGCTGATGAAATACTCATGTACATACTTATTTGGACATAAGATTCAGTAGATTCAGTGGGACTTAATCCCTTGTAAGCATGTATGCAATTGTAACCCTAAATAAACTTGGAATTATAGTGTTCTTCATTCGCCAAGAGATGAAGCAATTATGTAGACTGTGGGAAAAGCAGAGAGATTGAGATAGATCAATCTCTTAACAGAGAGTACAAATAACAAAAATATTACTTATGAGTACGTAGATGTGCATAGAATTGTACTGTGGATCTTCTTCATCTGCAAAGATGGGTTTTCTACAAAGTTGTCTTTCCAAGACCAGCACCCTCCAGATGTCCTGGACAACAACAACAGTTGTCTTCATGTTAAGGAAGGCAGGTGGGAGTTGAAGTTTAACACATCTGGAGGGGGTTCAGTTGAAGGAGTCTGGCTTATAGTATGATTTAACAACCAAGCTTTTGTTTTGTTCTTCCAGGTGTCATTTTGGGGATTGTGTTCATCCACCTCAAACGCAAAAAGCAAAGTCAACAGATTAGCAGCAAAGCAAATCCTGCTAGCCCAGCCGAATTGCAGAACTTGACGTAATTGTTTTACTGAAAGAAGCTGTTTTTTTAAAGACCTTTTATTTCTTTCTGCTGTTGATATTGTTACTGTTTTACTGCTTCTGACCATCAACAAACATTTGGCATTTCACCATTAATATGCAGAGTTTGATATCTAAACATTTTTAATGGACTAGAATCCCAAATGTCCTACCTAGCCATTATGGCCAGAGGATTCTGAGAATTGTAGTCCCAAATGTGACTTTTCCTTATGTGACTAGATTTGTTATCCTACTTTCATATTCTGCTTCTTCAGCCAGGAAAGCAGATTCCTACTAAGAACAGTGACTCCCACCCATTGTGTCATGTTGGTGCTACAGAGGCAAACTTGACATAACATTAAATGCATATCAGCATTTAAATATATTTAAATATTCTCCAAAGGGACTCTGCACTGTAGTGATTAGTAAGGAGAATGCTAATGGAAGACTCCCTTCCATGGCCTTAATTTCCTTTGGGTACTGGGAGAGTGTTATCGAAAATTAATCGTCCACATCATTCCCATTCTTGCTCCCTCTCTCTCCCTGTCAAAGATCCATTTTTTAAATAAATGCACAATGAATAAACATGTTTATTGTCATGAATAGTTTGGCTCTTCAGCAAAAATGGATTTCCTCCATTGAGGTGGAGATGATGTATTCCTCCTCCTTTTTCACCACCTCCTCCAGTCCAGTCATAAAGAGCTTCACCTACATGTAGGTCACACTTAGTCTGTTGAGTAATTGAACTAGCAATGAATTGAACTAAGTAATTAGCTTTGGCTAATGAATATTTCACTGCTTGTTCCAATAAAGGAGCCTGTGAGCAATGAGCAGAGATGGGTTTGAATTTTCAAAAGCTGTTATGGGGGCTGACAATAAACAGAGAGCCAAACTTGATGACTCTTTCGGTGCTTTTCATATTTCTGGTAAACTAAGGTCCATTGGGGGTGAGTGGGATGATAAGCCCACTTGGATATTCTGCTGATTCTTCCCCGTTGTCATGTTAAAATTACATGCCAGTACGTAATTCTGATGTTCTCATTTCCCCAACCCCCCTTTTCTGCATGCTTAAATTATATTTGCTGAAGAAATGTAGGTTCAAAAGAGCATTTTCAACCTTTCTGGTTGGCACAACAAAAATACTACCACAATATGCATTTGAGTTCAGTGAGATTTGCATTTGGATAAGTATGCTTAAATTGCATACTTAGCCTACATACAGGTTGAGTATCCAAATTCTTTCACATAGGTGGCTGAGATAGTGACACCTTTGTTTTCCAGTGGTTTAATATACACAAACTTTGTTTCATGTTCATTTCCCCCCAAAAAATCTATGTATATAAGGTGTATAAGAAACATAAATGAATTTTGTGTTTGGGCTTGGGTCCCATCTCCAAGATATCTCAATATAGATATCCAAATATTCCAAAATCCAGGATTTTGGATCAGCTCAGCACACCATCTTAAGAGTAAGACTCTGTGAACAGAGTGAAAATTGCTTCTGACTAAATGTGTTCAAAATATTGGTCAAGAGAACTTGCATTAAGAGATACACCATAACTTTCTACCATGATGAATTTGTGGAACATCTCTCCCCTCCCTCCAACGCCCCCCCCCCAACATTTACCTTCCTCCTGCTCTCATCCTGCCTGGTCATGTAATGGATGGTGGACATAAAGAGCAGAAGACTTCCTCTCTATGTGACTACAGACAGACAATTATCATGTTGTTCCAGGAGGATCGCCAGAATCTCTTGGAAGATGCCTTTATCATTGTGCATCTGGCTATAATCACTATGAAGACATTTCTCATCTGTCCTCCATTATTCACTGACCACTATATGGCTATTAAGATTTGTGTTCAAGAGGAAGTTAGGAACTATTGGTCTTGTGAGAAGGAGGAAAATAATTCTGACCTCTGCAACAACCAGAAAAAGGGCAGACAGAAGACATATGCTGGACTTGTATGTGTGGCCTTAAAGGCATGCCAGGTCTATAAGAAAATAAACTTCATTTTTCTGTTCACTCTAAATATGATCCTATCAGTTCCCTATATAGGTTAGCTAGAGAGAAAAATTTCATTGAAATACTTAGGATGTTAAGTATTACTGTTCACCTTGTGAGGAAAAACACTTGTTTCTATATCAACTTTTCTGGATTGTAATATGTTTCCATAGGATTTACAAATGGCTGTGTTGCTGTGTTCATAAATGGGGCGCCTCTGTTTATGATCCAGCAGTTATTCTTCAGTAGGGCATTCAATTTTCCTTCTCCACATTTTGTTTTCTAGCCATCATTCAACTCATTGTAGCTACTAGACATAATCATTCCTCATTTGGCTGGTTTTTGAGGGAAGTTCCCTCCACGTTTTATTCATTTATGAATAGAGTTTTCTTGAATATGCTGAAATTTACATTTTATTATTTTAGGTGGGATCTACACTGCCATATAAAATCCAAATTATCTGCTTTGATATTCTATATTATATGGCAGTGTATATCCAGCCTTGCCACTTCATCACACAGGCTTTTTTTAGTCATTGTTGGATGCATCCAGCAAAGTTCAGGGATAGAGTATGCCGGATCCCATCAAATGACGTGCAGCTACTTCCAGCAGGGCTCCATCCCTGAACTGTACTGAAGAGGCAAGGAGAACATGGGAGGCTTACTGTGTTCTCATTGACAGCAATGGGGTGAGCACAGAGTGAGGCTGAGCAGCAACGAATTACTCCAAGTGATGGGGAAGATGGCACTGTGGGCACTGTGGGGCACCGGGTGACAGATTCTCCCACTGCTGCCGGATTTGTCACACTGACTGGTAAATCCCCCTTCTGTCACCTGCGTTTGATGACTTCATGTGATGAGGTCCTTAGTCACCTGTTTTGAATTCAGTCCTGTCAGCTCAGCATTTACCATATGGATTTGCTACTTAAGTGATTAAATCACTTTCTTGCAAGCCAGTTTTTCTCATATTTTTTTACCCTGGATTGAGTTCACAGAACTCCTGCATAAAAAATATTACTATTTCTAAGTTCAAAAAAAGTTTATTTTCCCCCAATCATGATCTTTTGGGAAAAGAGGGTTCTGGAGAAACCTGCTTTAGAAGCCATGCTTTAAGCCACATTATGGCACTTTTTTGTTTGTTTGTTTAGACAGATTTCAAAATGATTGAGAGTTTGTTCAGATTTCTAATTGCAATGTGCCACAATACAACAAAGGACCCCTATTAAATCAAAAATCTCACTTGAGAGACAGGCTTCTCCTTTTCTGCTCAAAATCTTTTCCTCTCCGTATTGCATTTTATTCCGTGGGGGAAAGGAGTCCGATAGCCATATCTCTTCTATTGAGTTCATTTCTTGTTTTGTACCTTAAATGCTGGTTTGTTCCTTTTAGTTTGTAATGTTGCATAAGATCCTTTCTTTCTTTAATTTTAATGCCACTCTTAAATTGTATTATTTGGTGCATTGAATTGTTTTTGTGGTTGCAGTATTTTTTTATTGTACATTGCTCTGAATAGCTTATAAATTTAATAAACAATCCAACAAACAAAATTAATGTGGTGAGGATATTACATTGTGTGTGTGATACATCAGCCACATAGCATGTCTTTTGCTACTGTGATTTGCACGTGGATTGCGGTTGTTCAAGGGTTTCCTTTATTGGATGCTGCCTGTGATGTCAATGGAAACTAGCAACACAACTTCTTTTCTATATTTGCGGCATTTCACAAATTCTTTTCTTACCTTTTTCCTAGGAAGAAAGAAAGAAATAGCAATGGTGCATATAACTAAAGGCAACCTCTTTCTTCTGAAAAGAAAAAAAAGAGTCCACTGCTTAGCATACACTTCACTGCCATTTTTTGCATATTTACATTTACATTTTTGTGTGTCAGAAGTGACTTGAGAAACTGCACGTCGCTTCTGGTGTGAGAGAATTGCCATCTGTTAGGACATTGCCCAGGGGACGTCTGGATGTTTTACCATCCTGTGGGAGGCTTCTCTCATGTCCCTGCATGGGAAGCTGGAGCTGACAGACCCCATCTCACAGATTCAAACTGCCAACATTCAGGTCAGCAGTTCAGCCAGCACAAGGGTTTAACCCATTGTGCCACCATGCCCCCATTTACAAATCCTTGGAAAGGTGTATGCCCTTCTATCTCTGTGTTGCTGAAGGAAAGGGGATTAGTTGGAGGGGAAATTTAGACAGGTGTTCACCAAAGAAGGCAAAGAGCACCTTCAACAGCTAAGCAAGTTCCTCATCCACCCACTACAAGTGGACTAAATATTAACCTCTAAAGTGTCTGGAACAGAACTTGGGAAAGTTACCTTTTGGGAATGCAACTCTCAGAAACCCCTGGACATGCTGGTTGGGAGGTACTCAAGAGCCAGGATTTTTATGAATCAAATTATTCACACAATAAATTATAGTGAAAGGTATTTGATAGCTTCAATACTTCCCCCAAAAGATAACTAAGCAGGTATATCCATCAATCCTTTAATAGAAAATCTGTTATCTATATTAAAGTTTTTCTATAAGGCAGTGGTTCCCAACCGGTAGTCTGTGGACCACCAGTGGTCCACAAGAACGAAAATATGGTCCACAGCCTCACCATTACTACAGCATTTCCTCCAAATCATGTGGTAAGTGGAGCAAGTGGTCTTGTGAAGTGCTCTTATAGTGTCGAGGCAACGGGAATGTTGGGAAGGGAGAGACTGACTACCCACGAAATATTACTACTACCATCAACTCTAGATTATTCGATTATTAAATATGGTTTTCTGTAGGTGAGCAAGACACCTCCGCTTCCAGGCACACCAAGGCACCCTCACTTCCAGGCACCACATGCATATGTTCTTTATCAGAAACTAGAGCCGATATGGTCTATCCAATGCAATTTTCTGAATCAGCATTCCAAATAACCAAACCGAATCTAAAGTTGACCAAAAACTGATTTGTAACCCTTTTGGTACTAATGTTGGAGAGTGATCCCTGGTCAAGTGGCCCTTGATCAAGTGGTCTCTAGTCACAAAAAGATTGGGAAAGATTGGGAATCTGGCAGCTTATTTTCCTTTTAGTGAAAACATACCAGCCTTTATATAGATTGGTGGG